TTTTCTATCTGGAAGGTTTAAGAATGCCTTACATCTTAAGTTAAAATTATATAATAAAGCAGTGAGGGGTCCAAAAACGAGGGCCAATCCAGCCCACTGCCTGTTTTTGTACAGCCCATGAGCTAAAAGTAATTTTCACATTTTTAAATGTTTGGGAAAAAAAATCAAAGAAGTATGACTAATAATGTGTGAAAATGACATGACATTCACATATCACCGTCCACAAGTAACGCCTTATTGGAACACAGCCCCACTCACGTATGTATTATCTATGGCTGCTCTCACATTGCAAAGACAGCACTGAGTAGCTGCGAGAGGCCTTCTGGGGCACTCATCACTTCACCCCATAAACTGCAGTACCGAGGTGTAAATTTAACAGCATCTCAAGTTCCACAGGTAGCACCATACCACATTTTGAAATTGCCGATTCATACAGACCATGTAAAAATAAGTAAAGAAGAGATAAGTGAGCTCTGGATGTCATGCTTTTATGGCACAGAAGGATGTGGGTTTTTGTTATAAAATTAGATGATAAACATTGTAGTTTGGCACACAACACTTGTGCCAAAAGAATAGAATGTGCATCTATATTGCCGAACTCTGGCTCTGCCTGGTGTGACTCAGTGGACTGAGTGTCAGCGTTCAAACCAAAGGATCACCCGTTCGATTTCCAGTCAGGGCACATGCCTGGGATGCAGGCCAGGTGTCCAGCTGGGGGCGCACAAGAGGCAATCACACATTGATGTTTCTCTCCCTCTTTTTCTCCCTCCCTGCCCTTCTGCTTAAAAATAAATAAATAAAGTCTTTAAAAAAATACATATTACCAAACTCTGCACTCATCACAGTATTCTCAAGTCACGGGAAAGCAATAATATGAAAAATGCAAAAATTCTAAAAGATTGTATCATCGCACGGAATTTCTTCATGAAAATAAAAACAAGACTGCATCCAAAGTAAATTTCTAGGAAGCTGATTTGTTAGCCAAGCAAGGAAAAGTCATTTACCATTTATCAATGATGAGTCACTTAAATTGTATTTGCTTAAGCAGCCAAAGAAATGCATCCAGAGGAAACAAACTGTTAAGACTATTAGCCTTTCGGTGAGAACAGTTGCTTGAAGAGTTGAGGTTCTTGAGAGAAAAATCAATAGTAAATTTAAAAACAAGGCAATTGATTTCAATTGGCTTGCCATGACTCTAGATGAATCCACAAATGGAACCAATATTACTCAGTTGTTGCGGAGTCAATGTGGAGTTTCAAGGGGCTCAAGAATTAGCTCCTATGAACAGTCCTCATGGGGCAACTATGGGTGACAATATTCTCAGCAAACATTAATTCAGTACAACCTGAAGTGGAATCTACTACAATACACTATAACTGATTCTGGCAAAAAACAAAACAAAACAAAAAAACAAGAAACATGCATGGAGCAGAAAATAGCCTGGACATACTTTCAACTTGTTACTGAACCCTAAACAGCTTTTATGATTAGTTTCTGCTGTAGATTTGGTGCTATTTCTTTTTTTTTTTCCCTAAGCACAGTTGGTGTCTTGTAGTACATGACAGGGGTGCTGGAGTCACAGTGGGTACAGTTGCACGCGGCGCGGAGGCCGCAGGGAGCTTGAGCAGTGCTGCCAGCCTGAGGCCAAAGAGACAGGAGGCCGGGGGACAGAGCCAGCAGAGTGTCGGGTCAGTGGGCAAGCACGCAGGCTGCTCTTCACCCTGCGAGTGCCAGCACCTAGGGTACTGGCAGGGGCTGGCTTACGGGGATGTGGAGTGTTGGTGTCTGGCTCCAGATACGCTGAGGTGGGGATGTAGGACGGACCGTGGGGAAGCCCCGCCCCTGGGGTCTTGAGCCAATAGGAGACAAGCATGGGAAGTAGGGCGGTACCATTCAGGGTGTGGGGAAGAGCACTTGGGAAGACAGGCAAGGGGTGGAGCTGGTGGTAGCAGTGGCTATAGAGAGGGGCAAGGAACAGTGGGGTGGTAAGAGGCCCCCAGGGGGAGGGGGACTCGGGTCTTTGGGCAGCTCCTCTGAGCCCCAACATGGTAGGGACACCACTCCCGAGTCCAGGCCCAGTAAGATAGCTCCTTGGGGGTGACATCTTTTCAGCACAGGCAGTTTACAATAGCCTGGACGCCAGTCCTTGCCCACAGCTTGTCCTTCTGACGCAGGAAGTCTACCACCCGACTATGCCGACCTTTGCCCAGGGCCCCCAAAAAAGAAAAAAAAAATCACACATTTGGCGTCCTCCAGGTCCTCCTCTGTATCATTTGCAAGGTGCCTGGACACAGAGCTGCAATCTGGAAACAGGGACTCTCTGGAGAGGAATTCCTGAAGAAAACCGTGCTCCAGAAGGTTGAAGGAGGCCTGAAGCTCCCGGTTCTGGCAGGAACAGAGAGACCCACTGCCCCATCCTGATGGCTCCTGCCCCAAAGCTGCATCTTTGTGTCAACCATATGGGCAGGGTCTTGGGCTTCACTCATCGGGCATGGGGGCAAGTGGGGTGGGGCTGGGGTGACCTGAACTCAGGGATCACCTACAGCATGGTGCTGCTATTTGTTAATGAATGTTGCCTGAAATTACAAGGCAAGACATAGCTTACATGAGAAACTTACACTGGGATAATACCGGCAGAATTGCAAGTAAGCATGAGCTGCTATACGTGCTTCCCAGCTACCAAACATTAAAACAAGAAGGGAGACGTCCTTCACAACATCAATTGGCAATGAATATATTTCCTAAGCTCAAACTGCAGTTCCAGCAGGATTTTTCAGTTCACAATACAAATTCAAAGTAAATTTCCATATTGCAAAATCCACTTAACTGTGTAACTGAGGAGCTTCCATCTAACCTCAACTGGAAGTTGCCATGTTATGCTAAAAGGTAAATCTTAAAAGAAAAATCTAATAGAATTCTGAAGATGCCTTCTAAGCAATACATATGCTCAATTAGAATCATATGCTCACAAACTGGTGTCAGTTTCCAGCAGTACATATCTGAGAGAAAAAATACATAAAATCTCATTACAAATCAGCACTCAGAGATGAACATTTTACATTCAATTCTGATGATATGAAACGCTTTTAACTATGATTAAATAAAATGTTATTTTCCACAAAAAATATTCCATTGTTCTTATTAAGAGACCTGAATTACATAAAGCTGTAATAAATTAAATGAGTGTTTTAAACTTATGTGGAAAACTATACTACATGGGGAGTTACCCCCAACAATAACTGTTTTTCTAACGTCTTAGTGAATATAAACTCCATTCTTCAGGTTGATCAAGCCAAAAAATTTACAGTCATCCTTGACGTCTCTTTATCTCACCCTCTGTATCCCATTCATCAGCAAGAACAGTTGGCTCTATCTGTAAAACTATATCCAGAATCTAACCATTTTTCATCCTACCTACCATCCTGGTTCAAACTAGCATCACTGTTCACCTATTACAGTAACCTTCTAACTGGTCTCCTTACTTCCTCTTTTACTTCCGCTGAGCCTATTCTCAGCAACCAGAGGCTCCCTTTAAAATCTTAAGCCAAATCATGTCACTTCTCAGCCATAAATTCTCCAGTGCTTTCCCATCTCACTTGGCAGGAAAGAAAAACAAGTTTTTGTAAGACATGACAAGAAACTCCATTATCTGCTCTCCACCCACCCAAACCGCTTCTCTGATGTCATCTGCTTCTCCTCTCCCCTGGCTCGATTTCAGCCACATGTCCTAGTTTTGTGTTTTTTTCCAACACTTTTTAATCCTTTGCCACACTATTTAACTTGTTCTCTCATGGCCGAAAATGATCTGTTCCCAGATAAATCAGCTCCCAGAGGCCATGTGTGGCCACCCTGTGTAACCAGCAACTACCCTTTCACACTCTGTCCTACTGCTCTGTAACCCCGCTCCTCTGCATTAAGTTTCTGCAATAGCACATACCACCACTTGACATACTATGTAATGGGTTGGCCAAAAAGTCCATTTAGTACTTCCATAAAATAAAAAACACATTTTCCATTTTCATCAACTTTATTGATTTAGATATCTTGAGTATGTTGGCTGTCTCCCGCCATTGGCTTCTAGTGGGCAGAGGCCAGGGATGCTGCCAAACACCTCCCAATGCATAAGACAGTCCCACAGCAAAGGATTCTTTGGCCACAATGTCAATAGTACTAAGAAACTTCGCCAGCCACTTTTGACACAATCGATCAATCCCAGCAGCTTCTCCATACACTGCACAAGTCTCATGTTGTGTTTCAGTTGTGTTTTTACCTGTCCTGAAATAACAAGGTATATAACACACCGAAAATGTTGCATATCTTCTTCCATCTGCAATATTAAAATGCCTGCACAAAAATTCACCAATTTTGATAAGTTTTTTTTAAGTGCACACTGATATGACAGCTATCACAATACAATCTAACAAAATTGTTTCTAATGAAGTTAAAGACAACTAAGCACTACTATAGGCATCCTTTGAAAAAACTAAAACTTTCGGACCAACCCAATATTTAATGGTTTGCTTTTCCTCCTACCACATTAATATGTAAGTTCTACAAAGGCAGGAAATTTGTGTGTATTACTCAAGGATCTACCCACAGAATCTAAAACAGTGCCTGGAATAAATTGTTCACTCAATAGGTAATTCCTCAATAAATGAACAAGCAACAACAAAAAGAATTTTTTTCTGTAAGTAATGCTTCTTCAGTTTCTTTTCCTTATGTAAGTAAAAAATACATACATACATATGGATAAAACTGATTTGCCCCCCTGACCAGTGTGGCTCAGCTGGTTGGGCGTCATTCCGCAAAGCAACAGCAAGCAGGTTCAATCCCGGGTCAGGACATATGCCTAAATGGCAAGATTGGTCCCGGTCAAGGCGCGTATGAGAGGCAACTGATTGCTGTTTCTCACATCAATGAGTCTTTCCCTCCTCTTTCTCTCTCCCTTCCCCTCTCTCTAAAAATAAACCAATAGAATCTTTTTTAAAGAACTGATTTACCATTGCACTAAGCGTTTCCTCCCAGTCAGGCCGCTCTCGAGGGTGCACGTTTCTGTGTAGTTCAGGGACAAAATCATCCTCTTCAGAATGTACCGAGGACTTCATCTTCCTGGAAATCAAAACATGAAAGATTTTGATAAGATTTTATATTCTATAAAAACTTTCCAATGATCACAATTCAAAGAACGGACAACTGTGTGAGATTTAAAGCTTAGTTAAAAGAGCTTTCGTGACTATTACTGTTCCTTCATTTCTACTCTAGTTTTCTGAGATCTTTCCTGGTGGACCAAATACCTACTTTTATTCCAGGAGATAAAACTAAAGTTTATATAACTAGTTAACTTTTATGGTCTGTGGTAATTTTTGTAGAAGGACTGATTTTATCAGCTGAACATAGTTGGAACCTTGAAAAGATCTGCAACAGCCATCAATATTTATAGAACTGGACTAAGCATTAGTAAAATTCCAGGATAAAGAAAGAGGTACAATAGTTCTACTTCCAATTTACAGAGGAGGTATATTAGATTAGCGCTCTCAAGGAGAACAACGATGAATATTAGACAAAACATATAAAATTACTTGTCTGAGGCACAGGAAACAATCCATACAAATAGAATTTCTGGGACTACCTTCTTTGAGAGAAGAAAACCCATGAAGCAAATTCCATATTTAATCATTCTTTTTGTATAACAGACTTTCTAAATCAATGATGGAAACTAGGTGCCAAGCATAACACTGTAGTCTACCTAGGCTGAAGAGTCAGAGGTCAGATGTTGAGGCTGCCAAAGCAGATGGGGCCTCAGGGAAAAAATGCCAAAAATCTACATGGAAATTCCCCTCAAACTGTTAACCGAGTCCTCAGCTTACATGTATGTAGACCAAGATGCCAAGAAACTCCTCAAAAAACAGCTGAGGGGCAGCTACCGAGCCGAGCAGATATTCTCCAGCCCTGTCACGCTCAGGAATGGAGGCTGGCAAGCAAGCACAGCCCAGAACGAATCGGGGCACTGAAAGAAACACGCACACCCCTGGATGCTCAGCTGAGACTCCAGGGAACCCAGGCCTTAGGACTAAGGTGTCCAAGAAACATTATAAGGCATGCTCTAAAACACCAGGACCAAATGAATAAAAATTGGAAAAAACGTAGTCAAAACAGAGAGAGACTCACATTTGATTTGCATTTTAGGATTTTCAGAAAGGGACTAAAAAATGGCTATACTGGGTTTCTGGCTTTTGTGTATGATGTAGGCAGCTGTGAAAAGCATACCTCCACGGCCTTACAACAAGAAAGATAATCTATGAAATCGTAACTTTTCTTGAATCCATAAGAAAACTGAGGTCTCTGGGCAACCAATTAGGGATAGACAGGAATATCCAAGATGATCTAAATCACAAGCAATAAATTGCCTAGAGCAAGGAAGGCACAGAAGAGAGATAGATAAGCAAGTTGCTAAGAAAAGTCCAGTTAAATTTTTATCAAACTGCTAAAAATATTTTAATAAATATGTTCAGAAAAATATGTTCATATAAAAAACAGATGAAAAGGTAAAGAACTTCAACAGAATATTGTAATCTATGAAAAACAATCAAATGTTCATCCTAAAAATGAAAAATAAAATACCTGAAATTAAGAAGTCAATGGATAGGTTTAACAGAACAATGGACATGGCTGAAGAAAATATTCACATTGAAGAACAAAGGAAGTAGGAACAGATATACCTAACAGCATAACATACAATAGACTTGGTACAACGTCTCAAATACGTCTAAGCTAGCTACTCAAAGATAAGAAATATGAAGGAACGGGACAAAAGCAGTAATTGAAAAACAAGGGCTAGGAACTTTCTGAAACTGATAAAGTCAGCCAACTACAGATTCGAGAAGTCTTTAAACAGGATTTAAAAAAAAAATAAAATAAAACCGCCTAGGTATATTATACTCGAACTACTGTTTAAAAAAAAAAACTAATAAATTCTTTAAAACAGCCAGAGAATAAATGACAAGTTGACTTTAAAGGGGATATAATAACAACATGACAGAACATTTCAACAGAAATGAGAAGATAATGGACTAAAATTTTAACTCAATAAAAGTAAAAGATACTGCCAACCTAGAATCCTCTACCGCACAAAGTCATACATTTACAGAGCAGGTAAAATAAGTTATTTTCAAGCAAAAGATGAACAAAATTGCTACCAGGAGACCTGCTCAAAAAAAAAAAAAAAAAAAAAGGATTGTTTTTCCACTGAAGGAAACTGATCCCAGAACTACAGAAATGAATAGAGTATAAAAAGTGAAAATATAGAAAAATTTAATTAAATATTGATGTAAAAACTAATGTACACACAAAAATAACATCCTATGGGGTTTATAATAAACATAAAGCACAGAGGATAGGAAAAGTACATGCAAAGAGTTTAAGAGTCCTCCTCTATTGTTTGGGAAGTGAACTAAGACCAATTTCAAAGAATGCAGTAAGTCAAAGATAAGAGCTGCAATCTCTATGGTAACCACTAAAAGAATAATAAATGAATGTATGACTAAAATGCTGACAAAAGAGGAAATTTTGAAAAATAAAACATACTTGATTAATCCAAAAGGAAGCAGTAAAGAATAAAGACAAAAAGAATACAAAAGGCAAATAAAAAATTAAGATGGTAAACTTCAATATAAGTATATTGCTATAATTTTTTAAATGAATGGAATAGTACGTAAGCATTTGGAGAAACTGGAACCCTCATTCATTGCTTGCAAAAATTTAAATGTTGCACCACTGTAGAAAACAGTTTGGTAGTTTCTCAAAATGTTAAACATACAAATACCATAAGATCCAGCAATTCCATTCCTAGGTATTTAACCAAGAGAAATAAAAACATACCCACCATGAACTTGTACATGGATATTCATACCAATATTATTCATCATATTAGCCAGAAAGTAAACAACCAAAATGCCCTACAACTGAAAAATGAAGAAACAAAATGTACCAGGCCCATACAATAAAATATTTTCCAGCCATTAAAATAAAGAAGGAAGTGCTGATACATACTATCACATGGATGAAGAGTAAAAGCATTGTGCTAAATGAAGTCCAACACAAAAAGCCACATATTATATTATTCCATTTATACAAAGGGTCCAGATTAGTAAATCCATAGAGACAGAAAGTATATGGTTGCCAGGGACTCAGGGTAGGAGGACCTGAAGTTTTACTACTAATGGGTAAGGGATTTCTTTTTGGAATGTTCAAAAATTACATAGTGGTAGTAGCTGTATAACTAAACATATATACTAAAAACCACTTAATGGTGTACTTTAAAAGAGTGAATTTTATGTGTGTGAATTATATCTCAAAAAGCAAGTAAATGGACTAAAAAATCCATTGAAATGGCTAAAGGAGTACATTTCACAGTGATAAAAGTGCCAAACCAACAGGGTGATACCATAAAATCTGAATGCAACAAATAACACAGCTTCAAAATAAATAGTCAGTCTGAAAGAACTACAAGGAAAAGAGATAAATCCACAATTAGAGTTGCAGATTTTAACAAACATTTCTCCTTAACTGACAAAATAATGAGACAGAGAAAGTCAAAAGTATATAGAACATTTGAAACCAATATATCACCCTAAACTGATACAGGACATTAAACCCAAAAACTACAGAATATACAGTTTTTCAAGTACATACATAAAACATTTACCAAGAGACCATAAATAGACAATGAAGTAAATCTTAACAAAGAATTTAAATTATTAATGAAGTGTTCTGTGACCACCATAGAATTACACTAAGAATTAACTATTGAATGGTAACTACAAATTCTCCCAAATATTTGGAAATTAAGAAACACATCTCTGAATAACTTTTGAGTCAAGTACACAGTATCACCATGAAAATTATAAAATATTTTGAACCAAATGATAATATACAGCAGATTAATGTGTGGATACAACTAAAACAAAGGAAAATCCATAGCCCTGAATGCAACTTATTGGAAATAAGACAAGTTAAAAAATAAATGTTCTAAGCTACTATCACAAAAAGCTATCAAGAAACAGCTATCAAAAAAAAGAATATCAAGTTAACCCAAGAAAAGTAAAAAGAAGAGAAAATGTTAAATATTGGAAATCAATAAAAGCAGGTATTCGATAGAGAAAAATCAAAGCGAAAAGCACAACCCCTAGGAGAAGAGCCATTAAGAAAATACATATAAAAATGAAAAGGGAGATACATATATAACTAGAAAGCCTACAGACATTAAAAAGATTCTGAGCACTTAAGAACAACGTTTTTTCCAACACCGTTGTGAATTAAGTTGAAATGGAAAAATTCCTTGCAGAACACCAATTATCAAAACTGAAACAAGAAACCAAAAATCATAAATTCTTATAGCTATTCAAGAAATTGAATTTGGAAGAAAACTGCAACCCAAATGGATTGTTTGGTGAATTTCAAACATTCAAGGAATAAATAATAACAATCTTAAATACATTTTTCCAGAATATAAAAACAAAAGGAAGACCTCCAAGTTGTTTCATGAGGCCAGGACAATCTCCATAACAAAAGCTGATAGAGACATTACTAGAAGACGAAATTATAAGTCAGTATCATGAACACAGCTGCAGAACTCCTAAATAAAATAATAGCAAATCAAACTCATTGGTATACAAAAAAGATACAGAGTGACCAAGTGAGTTTTAGTCCAAAATAAAAATTATTTTAGTATTCTAAAATCAGTTCTTATAAGTGCCACATCATTAAATACAGGAATAAAAGCATATCACTTCAGTAAAGTTTAATACCTAGTCATAATTTTTAAATATATATTAATAAAAGTTATAAAAACACACACAGAGATAACATCACACTTAATGGTGAAATACTGATGCTTTCCTGCTGACAAGCAAGGGCAACAATGTCCTGAACAAGAGAAGCATGTCCTGTATTCAACACAGCACTTGAGGTCTTAATTCAGCTTTTCGTAAAGGCTTGGAAAAAAAATAAAAAGTATAAAAATTAGAAAGAAGAAATAAAATTCTCCTCATGAAGATGACATAATGTGTACACCATCTAAAAGAGTTCAAAAAACAATTAGAATCAGTAAG